TATATATATATAATGTTCGTTCACAGGATCGTATGATAAAAATTTTAATTTCAATTGATGTTTTGAACATTACATTTTTGAAGCGACTATTCTTAAAATTTACCCTAAAAGACACTCATTAAATCTGTATGGCACATTTTGGGATTCCCATAAGCATTTCGTTTTCAATACATACCTCAAGAGCCCGCCTAGCACTGCCAGCAAGAATCTTTGATCCTCAGTCAGTTGTCTTCAACCTTTGTGTGTACCCTTATGCCTCTAACGTGAAGCACATATGAAAAATCCCCTGAAGATTACCTATTTAATATGTTGGAAGGAAGTACGAAAGAGAGAAGGTTCTAGAAACCCCAGCTGGACACGTAAAGACCTCTTTTAAATCACTGTTCATCTTTGCCAAAGACGTTCCATAGCTCAGATAACTTTTTATCTATTCAGGAAGTGTCAATGTTTTGATACATTCAGTTTTTACAGCAACATCGAATGGTCTAATACTGCCTAACGTTTTATTGAAATGCCCGTTGCGTATTCATGTTAGTCTTCGTCTAACGAAATATTCAAAACTTTTTCAAACACCATCGACGATTGTGCTGCGAGACAATACTTCTTAACGCCCGAGCTAGAGATGGATGTAACACTATTGAGGGTCCAAAATATTTTGGAATCCCACTTTCATGATAAAAACAACTAAACATAAAGTACAGTGGTCCCAATAGTACATATCGTTATAAACTACTATTGTAGAGCCATCTATAATTCAATTATATTCTGCAAAGCGTCACTTCGGTATAATCTTTAGAATGTTCAGGTGATATAGAACTTGAGCTATAATCTAAGCCACCATTCACTGGAGTATGGGAAAATACAGATGCAAAAAGATCTTTAATCTCATTTAATTTGACATCAAATGCTATCAGCTGATCACCAATTTATACTAAACATGTCTTATTCTGACACTTCAGGTACTTTTTGGGATATCGACAAAATCGCCTTGCGTCCTCAAAATATGAACAGTGCTCTCGTAAGACACAGATGCTGGTTTCATTTTGACCTATGATATTTGAACTAAACGGTCAAATTTGACTGCATAGTTTCTCAGATGGTTGCCCTGTTCACTGACAGCCTGCTCCGAAACAAACAAGCTAAGACAGTTTAAAAAAGAGCGTGTACATAATTTGTATTCGCATTTTTAAAGATGACAGTATATTACCTAAGAAGCAAGTAAATTCTCTGTTATTATATCGTAACCACCTTTTCAAAAACGTGTTGTTTCTTAAAATTTTTGCTAGCTGAAACATTGCGCCATGTGCTCTGGTTTATAGGTTATGATAAACTAGAATATATGTTGCTTTAAAATAGAAATTATAATAAAAATTGCATATATCTAGGCTGATATTTGGAGTTCTTTTTCAAGTTAAACTACCAGTGACAGTTTTAAACTATTTTAGATCTCTAGTAAAACAGTTAACAATAATAATTCCTTCTACAAATAGAAAAGGTGCTTATCGAAACAAACAGGTTTTTAGATTTCGAGTTTCATTTCTTTATGTGGTGCTAAAAGGTGTTAATAATTTTTAATCAGAATCTCCACAAAGTGACGCAACTTTCGACCCTTTTTAAAAACGAATATAAAATCCGACGTCGACTAAGGACTTAGAAACGGTTTTCTTATTAGTATATTACTTATTATACAGCCTTTACCTCTATATTTATAATGATTCATCGTCGTGTCTGTTTTTGCTGAATTGTACACTGTCAGAGCATATTTCTTAGTTGTAAAGATCAATGATTCTAAATGACTTGTCCAACTACCCTGGACAAACGAAATCATGAGTGTAATATCCAGTGCTCGATAGATTCTAGCGTATTACTTTTTCATTTTCTAAGTTGGTATCCGAACTAGAATTACGAGTCATGACCTCTCAAAGGCGGTTATGGCATTGGTGGGTGGCAACTTTTTGGCTACTTTGCTAGTCACGACCGTTTGAATGCTATCAGACACGACAAATGGTCAGAAATCGTCAGGTCCGACACCTACTAAGGAACGGTTATCTATGAACTACTGCATACTATTGTCGCTAAGATGAATATCACGACAATAGCCGCTCGTATGCGGGAAGCTGGCCTTTGATCAGTGTTTGTGCCCACCTTGCTGCTAGCAATGATTCTTACGAAACCACAATACGAACTGGAGTGACAGAATTGGTAAAAGTTTTCACATTGTGTTTTTTTGTGCAAGTACTGAGGAAAAGCTTTAAGGTTCAATAGGGTCCACTACATGAAACATTTGCAATATACTTGCGCTCTTGACTCGACTAGTTATTCTTATGCCGGGGTAGGCTCAGTTTCATCTCAATTAACCGTTTTGGTATTGCACGACAATTTTTAGACATCAATTCATCCTATAATATCTCTGTACACCTACGTTTGACTACCGAAATTATAATTACACCCCCTACTCAAATTGTCTATTTTTCATTTTCTTTGACATTTTCTATTGGTGTGCAATATCTTATTGTAGTTGTTACACATAGAGGTAAACAATAGCAAACTGCCCATTTAAAGTATATCCAATAGATCTGATTTATTTCATCTGTTCTGCGCATGCAGAGTTATATCGGTAATATTTCTAATCTGATAGTTCGCGGATTTCTGAAACATCGGGTCGTTTTTTAAACCTAGAACGACGTTTTTTTGCAATGGTGCATGCCGCAAATATAAGGCATCTTACAGAACTTGTAATTGTTCTTTTTGTAAGATTTGGCTGATGATGAGCACAATATATATATTAGACCATCTGCTGATATTAGACAATCAATGTTCAACATTTTACACCTTTGTGCAAGTTTGCACTTTTATAGATTAGCCTACGTATGTTTTTCACGATCCAATCTAAGTTTGCTAAGTAAGCTAAGTTGAAAGTGCTCACACACGGCCTAAGCTATCCCTTTGACAGCAGCCTGAGTGCGGAACTAGCCGGAACTGACTGGACTCCAACTTTAAGCTTTTTTGTAAGATGTGCAAGGACACTTTACAAGACTACGGCCTTTTTAAGAAAACTGTCTCTGCAGGTAACACGACTCAGTGTAGAATCGCTTCGACTAAAATTTAACTCAAAGTGACGCGTAATAACTCCTTTTAATCCAGAGAATCCGTCAAACGAGCGGAATTACTTATGAGACTACGTCATTTGCCTGTAAAAAAAACCCGCAATACTTAGATCATAAGTAGTGAAAGGGTCCTTTGAGTAGCTTCTATTAGCTCCGAATGGTTCTCGCTCTGAAAGGTCCATGTTTCATTCTACAGTTCCATTGTGCTACACACCGAGTTTCGCTCCGAGTCACAATATAAGCAAGACGACCCGTAGCTAACCAGTTAACCCGCTCCTATTAAGAAAGAATATATTGGCAGGTACACTCAATATTAGCATTTACTGTACAAAGACCGCCATTCATGTACAAAATAAATCCTGCTTTATCACTGTTGCCAATACAAATGCATTTATCCGCACTAACTGATACGTTATAT